TCGAAAATAAAGAAATTGACGAATTTGTAACTGAATCAATTGTTGAAATTGAAATCAGCCAAAATCCTATAAAATTCCTTGGTCTGGACATTGATATGTTATGCAGTTTGATCATTAGTTTAAGTAACGTTTGTTCGCTCAGTTCATACATTAACCAGTCGTACATTTTGCCAAATGTATTATTTTTACTACTTACGATTTTGTCATTTTCAAAATATGTTCCAGACTTTGTCAAGGAAATGACATCCTCTGTTCAAATTGATATAATAAAAGTCATAGATAAAGGATTAAGCGACGTTATTAAAGTTTCAATTTACTCTGATAGAGTTAATTATTCGCTAGTGTTTCAAACTTTAGTTAACCTTTCAGACATCTTTGGAAGAAAATTTTTTCTAGCAAATTTTGGCTATAATTCACAAATATTTACAAGTTTGACGCAGCACAACAGTTTTACACATAAAAGTTTCAAAGTTTGTATCATGAAATTTATTGCGATTTACAATTCATATTTAAATAAAAACGACGCGAAAGATTTTACTTTACTTGCGAGCCACTTTATAAGCGATAGAAAATACTCTTTATGGCGTAGCACGAACTACGAACGCGGTTTTCACACGATAAACGGTATGAGAGAATTATATTCAGGAGGCAAACTCAAAATGATAAGCACCCACCAGTTTAACGAGATAAACGAAGTGTTGTGGAAAATAGACGAAGATCTGACGAATATCTCATTTACAGATGCATCTTCACAAACCAAGAAAGCAGCTAACGCGATCGAAAAAGATTATTACTTGACTTTCAAAGATATAATTGAAAATTATGACGATAATAAACTCGATGAAGAACTGCAAAATCAAATAATCCCACTAACATTTTCCGAAATTATTGACACAGTGTACAATCACCAAATAAACGTCACTTGTTATTCCATCATACGAGGGCAAATATCTAAATTGTTTTTTAAATATTTTACGTTCAGCGCAGTTGATTTAGATAACAACTGTTGCCTCAGTTTAATACCAAACGAAGAAAAAGTAGAGTACGCCATTATCGCTTCCAGCTTTAAAGAACGAGAAGCACTGTACATTATGTTTCAAAACCTGCAGCGAGCGATTGAAACAAGTCTTAATCTTTAAAAATAAAGTCTACTAAAACAGATGTTGGTGTTTTCGCTTTTTTTTTTTGTTTAATATAATCCTCGCTCCTGAGTTCATAATCTCTGAACTATCTTTCAGCTCGCGCTCCTTATGTTTTGAAGGTTTTACAATTACCGGAAATTGTCCAATGTATTGGCCGTTTTTCTCTTTTAAAGCGTTTAACATGTCTTGAGGGTCTGAGAAAGAAACGAAACCGTAGCCTTCGTTTTTTTTTGTAATTTTATTTACAATGACTTTGACTTTTTGCAAAGACTTGTATTGACTAAACGCTTTTTGAAGCATTGTATTTGTAGCATCTTCACCCAAATTTCCAACAAAAATTCGATAATCATCCTTGGGCCATTCGTTCAAGCTCTCATCCGTCCAACATATCGAGCCAACGTGTCTTATATTTTTATTTCTAGCTATTTTTTTTGATTTAAACTTTTTCGCCATTCAATTCTTGTAGCATTTTTCTTTTATATGTTTGTAAATTAATAAAAAATAAATAAACGGACTAGCGCTCTCGTGCTCTTCAATGACTATGTTCAACAGAAAACAGTAAAATGAATAGTTCTATTTTAGTCGATCCAAATACTTTGTCTAAAATTTACGCTATTGACTTGGAAATAAATAAACCTCATTATGTAGAGCAGCAAAAAAAACAGCGAAAATTAAGTTCGGTAGACGACCAAGATTTGTTGCAGTGTACTCAACGAAAAACGCCTATGTGTCTTCGACAGTTAAACATTGTGATAATCAAAAATTTGTCATGGAAAGTGTCAGAAATTCAACTTGAAAAAGCTGCTTCAAGGTACGGCAACGTTAACATAGCTTACATACTCGAGACGCATAATTCGCAATCAAGTGGCATTGCTTTGATCGAATTCATTGAGAACTCTGTTTTGCAAAAATTCATACGGGACAAGGGCCAGTGTGTCTCGAATATCAACCCCAACGGGTCCGTCCAGATATTGCAAAAAAAAAACAAAATAAACGAATATATAAACAGTCTCAACGAATATTACGGCCACTGGTCAGATTCAGGCGAACAGCTTAACAGGCTTTTGTTACTTATATACGAATACTACAATATTACGCCCCAGCATCCGTTGTTAGCCATGAAAATACAAAACAGATATATGAGCCTTCCTCTCGCCATTGAAACACTTTTAAATCAATCTATGCAGTTAACATAACTTGACGCCTATGCTCAAGCACGCTTTGATGTATAATAAAAAAGAGTAAATTTTTTTGTCTAACTGGAAATCTATTTTCCTGGCCAATTTAACCGGGCCACATCAGCAAAAAACGTAACAACTTCAAAACTTTATCTGTGTTATATATCGGTTTATAATGAATAGGCTCGAAAGTTTTTAAGCCGGAAAAACGCAGCGATTTTCTAAAATGTTAAATTTTATTAAGGTGTAGATCAATAATCTCTTCTTTAAAAATTCAGATAGATAGTAAGTAACGATCGCATATAGATTAAATAAAATATATAATCCATATCAACAGCCTAAATTCAGAATCTAAATTTACGCTCTTTAGTGCATCTAAGCAAAAATAAAGGGATATTGTATATTAAAAGAGAACAAATCTGCAAAACTTTTTTCTGTGTGCGCGCATCCCAGTGTGTTAGAAAGACTTAACTAAACAAGCCAATGAACAATGATATTGACGCTTTTGACATTGTTTCTTTAGTATTAGGGTATGTTGGTAACTTCGAAAAAAATCTTTTTCAGATACTTAATTGGAATCTTAAAAGGTAGCCCAACAATTTTGGATCAGTTCATAACACTATGTCAACGGGTTGAAAACATCAAACGAAGTGTAGAAAAAATTTCTCAGTTTAGTACTGAGTTTTTATTTTTGCCGTCAAACCAGCTGATGAATGAAACGCATCTTCAAACTCGAACCCACGTGATCTCAGCTAATGACATTACCAACAAGTTAAAAAGATACGCCGAAGAGTTGGAACAAGAGTATTCAAAGCAAAGGTCAACGTCCAATGAATCCCAATGGATCCTTGTTTTAAGAGAACTAAACTTTCGAATGAGATTACCGGCTCCAGTTTGTTATCATTGTTGTAATTCTTGTTTTGCTGGGATAGTAGTCTGCTCCCATGTTCTGCCTTACATCAAACCAGAAATGATAAACCAGAAAAAAACCGGCATCAACAAAGAAAACGTCAAAAGCAAAGCAGTTTACGCCACGTGTACAAATTGTACTTCGAAGTACCGTTGTCCTATGAGCAAACTTTCAAGATCTCGAACATCTAGTAGTTCGTGCAAAAATTTAATCCAGATAAGCCGTTTTAGCCTGGACGAACTGCACATTTTGTTTCAGTTGGCACTGCAAAAATCTATCAGAGAAGGTGTTCATTTGACCAAAAAGACAAAAGATTATTATCAAAAAATTTTAAAAAATGACAGGAAAAATGCAAACGAGATTTCTATTAACCGGATGGCTTTGGCTACCTTATCGCACCCAGACTCGTACTGTCAGTTTCGACAGAATGAAGCAGCATCGTGCGGTAAAAAACGGAACAGAGAATTGTCTACAGATGTTGAGTTAAGTAGAAACTGCAAACCTAGTGCAGACAAAGATCTACCCTTGATTAAAAGCGATCTGAGCTGGCTATACGTCATGCTCGGATACGCCGAATTAGGGGTGATTCAATCTCGTTGTTATTAACACTGCAATAAGTGCAACTCACAGTGAAATGACTCAACTTGGGATACTATAACCAAATAAACAAAATCGTATTTTTGGTGAACTTTATAAACCTGTAACCATGCTTTCTGAATGCAGAAATCTCGGCCACATGTTTATAAACTAATGTAGCAGTAATTAAGTTATATTATAGACTAGTTTAGAAAAACAGATTAATAAAAAAATAAATATTTATATAAAGCCTTGTAAATTTAGTCGTCTCTGCGGCGATCCTTGTAGTTGTCTTGTTGCTGAGGAACGACGTATTCAAAACCAACGTTTAAGGAGTTAAGGTAGCCAGCAATTTCAGAGTCAACTTCGAGTGGGCCTGGAATAGCAGTCACTGAAATTTCAGGGAGCACTTCCATTCTGCGGTCACTCTCGGCTTGTTGAATGGCGAAACTAATACCTCGAACGTTGGAAGTTTTCAAACTTCTCATAGTGGTAGTAATGTATCCAGCGATTTTGTTTCTCAAACGCTTTGATTGAATCCGAGCAACATCTTGTGACACTTTTTTGTTGTTTACGAAATCGCATGACAAGAGAGGATAGTGGGCTTCAATAATTTTGCGGCCGGCTCGTTTAACAGTTTTGGTTCTGACTCTACCCTAAAAAAATATTTTTCTTTCCAGCTGAAAACACAGTGTGCTACTGCGGTCCTGCGAACACACTGTAATTCGCTTCGTTGATGTGACTTACCATTTTTAGCTAGTTTTAACGAGTTTTTTTACAATTAATTCTGTACAGAATAAGACAATACGCTGACAACTTCTAAATAATAAATTTCAGATTTTTCGAGCTCAATTTTTCAAATAATATTTTTTTCCACAACGTAGTCGCTCTGAGTTGGCAAATATACTTGTTATTCAACTCATAGTATTTTTTAAAATATAAAAATATTAAAAATATATTCGTATAATATCTCAGAAGTAATTTGCCAATGGCTATTTTTTGTCATTATTTGTATAACTAAATCATTTGCAATTTTTGGATATGTATAAAATTAAAGCTGTAAATTAGTTACATTTACAGAACATCGAAGTAGATCACAGAAAAAGCATGCAACCCGGAATTTCGCAGGCTTACAGATTCTCGCACGAAGCACAAGGCTCGTATTACACAAATCATAGCCAGCGCCGGCCAGAAATGAATCGCAATTTGCTAGAAGATATAGATCAAAATTCTTCATTGGTTAATTACAAAAACACTTCGTCGCCGTCAGCTATTTCGTGTTCGTGGGGCTTGTGGCCCCCTACAAAAGCCGATGCCGCCGAAATTGAAGTGCCTGTATGCATCTTGTACCAGCCATTCAACTTGGAACAAGAATTGTCAGTGGTTCGTTACGAGCCAATTCGAACTAAAAGCGGAAACGTAGTGCTCAACACAAACTGTACTGTAGACTTTCGCAATAAAACATGGACTGATCCAATAACGTCCACCTGTAATATGTTTCCGCCAAAATATGCAGATCAAATCTCTGAGACTTGTTTACCCACTGAGCTGATATCGCCGACGATAGATTATTTGCTGCCAAGTCCGGGATTGATGTCTATTTCATATTGTTTCATCATCGACATCGCTATCTACCAGGAGGAGTTAGAACAGGTGAAAGACGCATTTTTACAGATGATCGGACTTTTGCCGCCTAACGCAAACATCTCAATTATCACATACGGATCCTGCATCAACATTTACGAGCTTGTACAGGCAAATTCTATCAGAAGTTTTGCTTTCCGCGGAAACAGTGACGTAACGCTTCAGTCGCTGCAGCAACAGTTAGGGCTTTATTCAACTCATGGCAACAGCGAACAGGACACCCGGTTTATGGCTAAAATTTCAAATACTGAAGACGTAATCGTATCGATAATAGAGTCGATCGAATCGGAAATGTGGCCAGTGTGCAGTGACAAACGAACGGTTCGTTGCACTGGAACAGCGATAGCAACCGGTATTGCACTCATGGAAACGCTGTGTCCGGACACGCCGTGCCGTATTCAACTATTTGTGGGAGGGGTAAGTACTGCCGGTGTAGGGGCTGTAGCCCCCCTAGAACTGGCGATTCCGATTCGACAGCACCAGCACTTAAACAGAAATTCGAACGAAAAAAAACTGTACAAAAGAAACTGTGCTTACTACGAGTCACTTGCTATGCGTGCGCAAAACGCTGGCCATGCAATTGATTTGTATTGCTGTGCTTTAGATCAAACAGGGCTTGCCGAAATGAAAGTTTTAGCAGAGAAAACCGGTGGGATTTGTCTGATGACAGATACTTTCTCGTTAAGTGTGTTCAGAGACACGCTTAAAGAAGTGGTCAAAACGTTAGGAACCCACCGCGCAGAAGCTTATAACGTGAAGATCGAAGTGCAATGCACAAAAGAAGTTCGTATAGCCGGTGCAATAGGTTGTTTGTCGAGCTTAAACAATAACAGTTCTCTTGCAAGCGACACCTCAGTGGGTGAAGGGAAAACAAACGAGTGGGCGCTCGGAGTAATGCATCCGAGCTCAACGGTTGCGTTTTATTTCGACATCAACAACAACACGGCGATGACTGTCAGAAACAAGTCCGCAATTTTGCATTTCAAGTGTTTCTACACAAATCCTGCTGGTGAACGCCGCTTGAGAGTGCACAACGTTTCTTATAAATTTGGAGACGGAGCTCTCATTCAGCTCGGAACGTCGTTTGACCAGCAAACAGCTACAGTTGCTATTGCTCGGCTCGCGGTGCACAGAATGCAGACAGAAACTACTCTCGACACGTTCCGATGGCTAGACCGTAAATTAATTCGGGTTAGTTCTTTGTTTGGAGATTACCAAAAAGGTATTCCGTCGAGTTTCAGGCTGCCTATGGAGTTTATGTACTACCCGACGTTCATGTACCATCTGCGCCGAGGTCCGTTTATTGACGTACTCAACAACTCGCCAGACGAAACAGCGTTTTATCGTCTTTGTTTGCTGCGTGAAAATTTAAGAAATACAATTACGATGGTGACACCAAGTTTGATTATGTACACACTCAACGAATCGTTGCCCCAGCCCGTCGTACTCGACAGTTCGTCGCTTAAAAATGACTGTGTTTTGCTGATGGACTCGTACTTTCACGTGGTCCTGTGGCATGGACAGTCAATAGTTCGCTGGAAAGCACACGGCTACCACGAAAAGCCGGAATATGCAAATTTAAAAACTTTGTTAGAAGCCCCTGTCGAAGACGCGCTGATGTTGCTGAAAAGCAAGCTTCCCTGTCCAAAGTTCATTAACTGTGGAGCTGGCGGTTCTCAAGAACGATTTTTACTGGCGAAAGTTAACCCCAGCATAAAGACGCACAGTTCTCAAGACATCGACAGCAATGAACCTGGCGCGATCATGACAGAAGAAGTCAATGTCAACGCTTTTATCGAACACTTGGCAAAATTTGTCACCCGAGAATAAAGCTTTACCACTCAGAAACCGTGAGTATTTTATGTGTTTCTATATTGCAAAGTCCATGTGGGTCTAACTCAAATTACTTTACTGTATAAATTCGCAATTTAAAACAAAAATAATTATATAATATTGAATGTTAATTTCGGATAGTCAATCGGTATCCGAGCAAATAAACAACCTGCTGCAACAATTAATCAAGGAAAATGCGAATTTATCAGCCGCTGTGACCCAACACCCGGCATATTGGATGTCTTTGCACACTTGTAATCGACAACTTGATCAGTACCGATACAATGAGGGCTTAAATTTCATTTTACCGTTGTTTTTCATGGAACGCTCAACGACGCAAGCCGACATTGAAACACACAACACCGACATCACGGTTTCCAATCCGTTTGCTAAACGAAAACAGCGGCCAGCATCGACGTTGCCGGCGTCGCTTGACGAAATCGGTTTGGCGTCGCCGGCGGTACAGCAAAACATTTTTGATTTCATCACGAGAAACATAAACACATTTTTCAGTGCGACGTCAGCCAAAGTTGCTGAGTTTGACAAACAGGTCGCGGAAGAGAAACTCGAGCTCGCGTGGCTGAACCTTTTGCGAACGCACTACGGCTACAAAGAAACCAGCCAGCCGAATACGAATAAATCGATCATGTCTAAACTGATGGGGACGCGGTTTGCGCCCAAAACTAGCTTTAAATCTAAATTGAAAAAGAATGACGACGATCTCGAGTTCATTGACGCCAAATCCAACTCGAGCGACACCGATTCACACATCTTATAAAAAAATCACTAAGAACAAAAACGTAAAACAAATATGAAGCACCAAAGAAGTTTTCTCTTCTAACAGAAATAAATATTGGAAAATATTTAAAAATTAGACATGACATAGGAATTTTTTTAAATAAATAAAATTTATAAGCCATGACTCATTCTTACGGTAAACGCTCTGGAACTAGGTATAAGTTTGCCCGTGCCTATAAGGGCCACGGCATGCCAAATTTGTCGACTTACTTGACTACTTTCAAGCGTGGAGACTACGTCACAGTCAAGGTTAATGGTGCTATTCAGCGCGGAATGCCCACCGGCTTTTACCACGGTCGAACTGGTCTCGTTTACAACGTAACCAAAAGTTCGCTCGGAATCAAGATCGCAAAAAGAGTCAGAACTCGCGAAATCATCAAACACATCCACATCAGACGGGAACACGTTATAAAAAGTAAATCCACTGAAGAATTTAAAAAGCGAAGGGCGGAAAACGACCGCTTAGCTCGCGAAAATGCTAAAGCTGAAGAACCCAAAGACCTCTGTTTCAAACGTAAAATCGAAGCCCCCCGTTCTGAGGTAGTTGCTTCTGGTGAATGTGTTGAACTAACTCCAATTGCTTTTGTGGAATCTTACTAAGTCGATAATACTTTAAATTGGTATTTTTCTTGTTGTAAATATAGTTATATTGCGTAATTTTTATTCAAAGTGGTTATGAATAATTGCAAATTTAATATTAGAATTTCTCGAATTGGTATTTAGTTTAAATTAATTATAACAATCAAATGCAGAATTGGTATTTTGACTGTGCTTGTATACTTAGATGACGGTAAGTACCAGATTCTAAATTTCGCGATAGCACAAGCTCAAGTATATCGTTGATATCGGATTTGAAAACACAAACTGGGGATTTGCAGGGAATGATTTGCCCACAGAAAGCTTGAGCAGTTTTTGGGGGTACAAAAAATCAATGGGATGGGCGTGCAAACCGCCTTCGCTCTTTTTGCCTACGGCTGAGACTTGCTACCACCCCATATACTCGGTATGGAATTATCCTGAACTGCTCAACAAATATTCTCAGCGTAGTTACGATACACTGAATACCACAGAACTTCCGCAAGGAATCACCCCCGTTATTTCGTTGCAACCGTTTTCCGCGATGTTTAATTACATCAATGATTTTTATCACGGTTATGAATCGGTTGCGGACTCTGCGCTTCTTGTCACAGAACCGACTCAGCAAAGTTTATCTACGTCTAAAGGAATTCTCGATTTTGTTTTTGAAACGCTTAGTGTCAAGGAATATTTTTTTGTCAAGAAAGCTTCGGCTATATCCTTTGCTTTTGCTCGCTCCACTGCTTTAATTATAGAAACCGGACCATGCAGTATTACTTTTTCGCCCATATTCGAGTCTTATAATCTTACAAATCAAACGAAGTCATTCCCCATCGGAGGTGACTTGATTGACTGGTACGTAGGAACGAAATACGATTTGTATAATAATAAGGAATGCCGCCACAACGAGTTTTTTCCATTTGTACAAGATGATGTCTGCACATATTCAGACTACGCCAAAGCAATACACCCTAAAACTTTGCACTTAGCGAGAAACTATTTGATAAACCAAATATCGAAAAACCTTGTTGACTTCAACTCGGGGGGCGGCTATGATGCAAACGAAGTTGATGACGAAATCGCGTTCCAACTACCTGATGGAAAACTTATACACTTTTCACACGCTATTAATCAGGACATTTATGACTTCTTTTTTCAGCCTGACGATCAAAACAACTTAATGAAAGCTATTAAAGATTCTCCCACTGTGAACAATGCGTCTTTAACGGCTTGGCATGGAATCACACCAACGCTTTTTTCTGTTCTGTTCAACTCCGATCCTGAAATTATCAACACGCTTTCTCACAACATCTTAATAAGCGGAGGCTTAACGATAATTCCAAACTTTGCAGACCGTTTATCGGCAAAACTTAAATCTACTTCGACTATAAACATTCCGAAAAACGAAATAAGTTCTCAGTGGAATTCAGAATCGCAAAACTTACCATTTACTACCAAGCACATTTCTTCCTTAAAACTCAAAGTTTCCACGTTATCCAACACAAACAAGCCGTTTTCGAGTTGGATCGGAGCTAGTATTTTAGGATCACTGTCGTCTTTTAGTAACTACTGGGTTACCAAAGAAGAATACAATGAATTTGGAACTAATGTTTTGGAAAGAAAAGTTATTTTCTAGACCAACTTAGTTCCGCTCCAAAACAAATTCGTAATACTGTTAACAGCAGTTTACAAACACATTGCGCCCGCTTCTACGTAAAAAACGTTGTTCCAAGTCTTCCCTGCGTCGCAAACACAGTATGGAAAAGCATTATTCATGAAGCAAACACTATTATCTGGGCATATACTTTTATCACATTTCTCCGGCTGTTTAGGACTTTGAAGTATCTTTATTAATGAGCTTTCTATATATTCGTGGCTGTCGACATTAAAAAATATTTTATCTGTTGATACATCGATTTTAGCGTGACAAATTTTTTTTAGATTTTTGTCGAACTCTACAGAAAACCAAAATGAATTTTGGAAAATAAGATGTGAACTGTAAATATTGTAAAGCGAATTCGAATTTATTTTATTTGCAACATGTCTAGCACTTGAACTGTTATTAATCCATATATCGCAATCTACAAGCTTAAGATATATTCTAGCAGTTAGAAATATGGCAAAATCCACATTTAACAGTCCTTTTGAGAACAATTTTCGTTGGGTATTAAAGTATTTACTGCTTGTGCTATAAATAATAGTGTGTAACAGTTTTACTGAAGCTTTAGGTAGTAAATATTTAATTACACTGCTGGTAAAAGTTACAAATGCAACGGAATATGAAGTACCAGAACGACTTTTCATTTTATTACTTAATGAAATGGTGCTTACGTCTTCACCTTTCGCCATTATTACATAATCATCATTTAAACAATTGAACTTCGATGAAGTTAGAGTCGAATCAACCGAACCTACGAATAACGTTATAGAGCGGTTTAAGTTTTTCACTTTTTGATCACAACTAAAACTATAGTTTTCAATGTTTCCGACAGCTTGCACCAGAATAATAGCTTTCTCTGTAAGTATGTCAATGATTTCTTTATGAACAGTAAATAAATCGCCATTGAAAGAAAAACTTTGGTTAATCACACTAACGCCATTTTTTAAAGCAAAATCTAAAGCGAGAAAATATTCACTTAAAATGCCTATGCCGCCTTTGTCATGAATTTTAAGTGGCAATACTTTCAAAAAATCAACTGATAAAGGGACAAATAGTTGTTTCTTTGACAAGTCTATTATAAGTGATGTAATTTCAGTTCCATGTCCGGAGTCATCTAGAAAATTATCATTATCATCAACAAAGTTCCAGCCAGCATATTTTTTATTGTGATTTTTCAAAGACTGAAAGTTTGCTAAATCTTCTTTAAGAAATAAATATTTATGGAAAAGCTTATTTGTGTAATCTAAACCCGTATCAAGTACACTTATGATTACATTATCATTATTTTCATTTATACTTAATGGTAAATTGGATGCAGTAACAGTAGAATTATTATATAACTTTCGAAATGAACTATTGAAATATTTGTTTTCCGTTATTTTCTCTAAAAAATATTTAATTTCTTTTTTGTCAGTAATTAGATATATTGCTTTGCCATATTTTAATTTGTTTAATATATTTAATAAGTCCTGATCACAATTAAAATTAATTATTTGTAAGCGTAAATCAGTGAAAGTATATTCAAAAAAATAATCTTTTAAATAAGAGTAATGACTAAATGATTTAACTTTTCCTTTTCCAAAATATTTTTCTAGTTTTTCTAAAATCAATATCCGATTGTGTAAATATTTGTCATAAGTTGATTTAATTATTAGTCTATTAACCATCAATTTGGTATCGAAAGCATTATTTTTTTTTAATTCATTATCGATCTTTTGCGGCTCTAATAGTTTTATTAATTGTAAACAAGAATACGGAGCAGTTAAAATTGCGTTGACGAAATGATTTCTTGTAGTGTGCGTATTTGTTGTGTTAAGATAATTAAGTTCATTCTTTGTCAACTTAGGATTTTTGTATGAAAAGTTTTTGAAACTAGTTCCAGTTGCTTTATTTGAAATAAATGAAAGACATCTTGCAATCATAAATAGTAGCGCCAAATTATGGTACTGGATCATTTAATATATAAAATAATGAAAAGATATAATATATCGAATTAGTAAGGAAAATATTTCATATTGGGCGCCCATAAGGAATCGTGAGCATTAGGAAAAGCTAAAAACAATTGTTTGTCAAAATCTTCTTCGCAGTACTTGTTGAAAAAATCTCTTACGTGCCCCTGAATAGATGAAAGCTTGCTTAAATTACAAGATTTGGATGTGCATAATTGTTCATTAATAGCAATATAGCGTGTGCAGTATTTCATATTTTCAGTTAATATATTTTTCTTATAATTAATATCAGCTTCTCTCCCAGTAAGATCTGGTTTATTAAACTCAGAATGCAAAAGATAGCCATTTGGGCAATGGATTCTTCCATAATATATTTGTTTATTTTCACAATACATCGTATTTTCCATTTTTGTGGAAATAACACTGTTTAGGTGATATTTAGCAACTGTATTATCGGGACAAGTCAGTTGTATTGGCAAAATATCTTCATTTATACAGACACCTGCTCGTTCAGAATTGTTTAACTCGACGAACATTTCTAATATACCGTTATTTTTACATGTTAATGCTTTAGATTTATTTTTTTTGACTATAGATCGGTTGACTCCAACGCAAACGAGTTTATCAGAAACTATTTCTTTTGAATTTGCGTGTACAAATTTTTTAATTAGTTCTGATCTACTACTTTTATCAGATAAATTGTCTATGTGAGCTAGTCTATAACCATTTTTACATGAAATAACTGGTCCAGTAATTTCGTAGTTCTGACATAAGCCTGGTGCAATGACAGGATCATATGAAATATTAAGCTCATTAATCACTTTTGCTGAAAGCTTACCAATACACTCAGTGTATGGTTTTACTTTCGACAATATAATGCAATTATTTTGATAATAAACCCAGCCAGGGGGACAGAATCCTAGGTTGGCATTTAGCCCTTTTAGGGAAAGAAAGAAGAATATAAGCATATTTTGTAAAAACGAATTTCAAAATATAGTTTACTGAGAAATTTGATTGCCATGAATTAAATGATATATAATTTATATCACAATCAAAAATAATTAATTAACAGCTAAAAGATCTTGATCGTTAATAAAAGTTAAATTGAATTATTCTTGTTGGGCAGAACTGAAATTATTACTTATCGTTTTTCAAATTGTTTTTTAGCTTCTTTCTTTTCAGACTTGGTTGGTTTTTTATTTGATTTTTGACTAGACTCACTTTCAA